GTTATGCACCGATGGAAGATGTATGGGTTGTGTTTCCATGTGCGCATACAGTCTGCACGAATTGTATCAAAAATTTGAGACGGTCAGTTTGGTATCGGAAGCTTGCGGGCGCGATTGGTGGGGGCGGGCGGTTGCTGCGTCATTAGTGGAAGGGCGGAGTGGGCGTGGCCGAACGCCTTCTCTAACCTTCCAGGCTCGCAGCGCTTCCATCAATGACGCTGGCCCGCCCGAATTTGCTTCTACTGTAGTTGATACAAGCCACGTGACGAAATCCGTTCCACTTTCACTCCTCAAAACGTTCATGAGTGGAATCTGGCCGGAATCGGACTGTCTGTGTTCGACCAGATTCTGCGCGTGACTTGGTCTTGGGGGCCAAGTGTTGGCCTGATGGAGAGAGGGATCCATTCGTTGTGCCCAATCAACTAAAGTAGCGCCTTGAAATTTATGTAGTCAAAGTGGGAACCGCTCTATTTCAAGCATGACAACTTCGTCATTTCTTGACTACATACGATGTGTAACATGCCGACGACCGTGCCCTGTCGACGGGACCATGTATGTTGTGAACAAGACGGATGAGTTGATACCGAATATCCGCCTGACAGTTAAGGTATGTTGATGACAAAGAAAAACCAAGAGCGAAAAGAAATCGGGTTTTTTTTCACGGAAAGGAAAACGCTGTGGGGTTCGCTTGAGAACTTATAGGGGCTGAATTTTGGAAACATTTAGTTTTTGGGGAGGAAAAGTACTTGGAGAAGACGTAGGCAAGAAACCGTGACGCGGCAGCGTTGCTGTGCAACGTCATCTTGTCTGCGTCCTCTTACCGTGATAGTACCCGAAATATTTTTCAAGTAGCCTGCGGCATATTTCGTCAGGAAACTAGGTTGCGAGTAGCCAAATGATGTATGGGCCGATTCTGAGGTAGCGTTCGATGAAGTGAGTGCACGGTGAAGCGCCTTGACGCGCTACCATTGCATCAGGGCAGTTCATGTTGTTGGGGAAAATTGTTGCGAAATACGCCCTTCCTCCAACCTACATCTTCCTAAATTTTCCCAACTTCCATTTTTCCTAATTTCCTCAAAAAATTTTCGGTTTCTCTCGAAAACTGCCGTCGAGCGGTCAGACGGGTGGGGCAGGGGTTATCACCAATCAACTGCCAATTTCAGCTATCAGAAATAGTATTAGGTTGTCCGGAAAGTTCTCAGCGTTTTGGGTGTTTCACTTTAAACGATCGTAACTTTTTTAATACTCATCGGATTTAATCGAAATAGGCACCATTCGAATCAGCACACTTTTGCCAATGTGACAGCAGTCGAGAAATCCCATCAAAGTAAAAAACTGGGTGGTCGAAAATTCACGAAATCCACTAAGGCTTTTTTGCCTGGTCCTGATTGATGAAGTATTTTCCAGCAAGGGAGTTCTGAAAGTTAAAAGGTGATAGTCGATTGGCGAAAGGTCTGAAGAATATGGCGGTTGAGGTAGAACTTCAACCCCCAATTCGTTCAATTTATGGATAGTGATTTGTGAAACGTGTGGGCGGGCGTTGTCATGCAAAGGAATCGGACCCTTTCTTTTGATAAGTGTTGGCTGCATCTGACAATTATTTTCGGTACAATTCGTCGTTTTTTTCACAGTAGGGTTCTGCTGTGTGGTTTGGCGCTGGTGTCAAAAAGTTATAGTGGATCCACAGCGCGATGACACAGCTGTGTCCAGATCTTTTTTTTCGTGAGGGTTGCGGCTTTGAAATTCCGCGCTTTGGTTCAGTGGAATCCAACCGCCTGTCCAGACGTCTCGCTTGTTATCAATACTTACGCATTTTAGTCATTCACGCAGGTGAAATTCGGTTCAAAAACGGGTCAATTCTGCTGCGCAAAAGCAATGGCGAGAAGGAAACGTCTGAGACGCTGCCGTTCCTGCCGAATCATTGCTTGAATTGTGGGGCCACCCAATTGTCGAGTTTTTTATTCAGGACCTTCGCCAATGCGTTCCATACCATCTGCAACAGTGGATTTGCCAAGGCATAGCTCTTCTGCTATCTCTCAAATTGTTTGGGATGGGTCAGCCTCCAAAATCCCCCTGAAATCCTCGTCAGATATTGCTTTAGTCAACCGCTATGAGGTTCTTCTTTCAAGGCTGAAATCTCCAGAACGAAATTTGTTGAGCCATTGCCGCACAGTGCTTTCTCTAGCACTATTGGGCCCCCACACCTGGTTAATTTGTTGAGCTGTTTCGATTGCGGATTGCCCCAATTTATAGTCGAAGAAAAAAATCGTCCGAAGTGCTCTTTTCACATGCTTGAAAAAATCTTGAAAAAAGGGGGTTTATCAAGCAATGGTGAAACGGCAATTATACCATCAGATAGCGCAAGAAATTCTCTACAGGATGTGCTACTGAGAAGCAAGGCAGAATGAGTTTTTAATCAGCAGTGAATGTACAAAAAATAGGTGCACAAAACGCTGAGAACTTTCCGGACAACCTAATAGTTGTACGGTAACCTTTCCGCTCCCGCAACTAGAAGGGATGGTATAAATGAACATGAAACGGGAAAAACCGGGATTCAACAATGAGGGAAGACTTCTCTCGCGCAGAAAAAATTCTTGAGGCTGGGTATGACCCCTCCCCTTGCAGAATAGCGAGCAGTTACGATCCCAACAGAAGTCCCCCAACGTCTTGGATGTAAACAGGATAAACCAACTATTGTAAAACTTCCTGAAGGCTAATAACGGGCTTCCTCCCTCCAGCAAATACTAACTTCCGTGGGGATTTCCCAGCGTACGACATGCCCTGATTGCAATGGCGCTATCGTAATGTAGACGAAACGAGCCGTTGACAGGTATTAATCGACGCCGGCCGCTAGTATTTTGAGAGTATAGGAGAATAGGAAAGTGCGTGTTGCTTAATCACAGTATGATACCCTCTAATTCTTCCACACTCTTCCAAAACACCACTAGTCGCCGGCGACGATCGATACCCTTCCATAGAAATGGTAGCGCGTTGACGTAAAGTCTGAACGCTGCCCAAGGCTGCGAAAGGACGTGTCAAAGGAATATTGCGACAGAAAAAGGCGCAATGTGGCACAGTTGCATCATCGGGTGCTCTCTGCGTAATCCCTTGAATGAAATTGAAAATCCTTGAAAACATCTCTGGGAGTTTTTTTGGCGTTTTTATGTTAGTTTCACTTTTTTTGCGTAAAGCTCTTTCTAGTTCGAGCAGATCATTCGTCTACTGAAGAAGTTGATTGCTGAAGATCCCACGAATAAGGTGAGACTTTTGAGGGCTTATCAGATTTAGCATAGATGTGCTGCAGTACGCTGACTAGCTTGGGATTACTCTGATGCAATGCAATTCTCGCTCATGGTGGAGTTGTTCGTCAATTGAAATCTACCTGGAAATTCGGACCAGTCTTTGCATTTTACTTTTTCTAACTGGTTCCAATTCTTTATTATGTGAATCTGTGATGGACCTTTCTAAGGACGTACCGCGGAAGGAGAGTAATTCTCCAACGTAACTGTCAGATATGGTGGTCATCTTCAAAGGCTGTACGTTGGGATCCCAAGTGAGGGGTGTCGTATTTGCCGTTGCTGACTTTTCTCAGTTTTCACGTGCGCTTTACCCAACCCCCCCCCCCCGGTCCCACCCTCTCGCCCGCTCGACAGCAAAATTCTGGCGACGTGATGTGTCTTCTGGAAGAATGATTAGAAAGTCGAAGCGAATTTAGGAAGAGGCAATAGAATGGGGGTGGAGAAGCGGGGCCGGAGTAAAAGAGCAGGGAATTATGAATAAGGATTTCTGCCCTGTGCCAGAACGTGCCCTGTCTCCAGTTGTGCGCCATCCCGCATAGCATGCGGTAGGCTCACGCAGTCAAACTAAAGACAGTGAACCATGTGCTATCAATTAAATTATTTATTCTGGTGTTTTATTTAGATACTGGTGTTCACCTCGATTGCTATCGTGATACCACCATTTGCGGCCCTTTTAAAGTTGTTAAAGATCCCTTACGCTGTGCCAGATAGAGGATCAAGATCGAAGACTCTACATCGATTCCGACATGACCATAATCTGAAGGTGACTAGCAAATTATACGACTTTTCATCAATGGAGTGGTGATTTAATTCGAATTATAAAAAGAAAACGTGAATGTCTTGATTGGCCCTACATTACAGTCGTCAGTTTTGGACGTCAGTTCCTCATACTCATAAGCACATTCCAGGCTGGTCACCTGTGTGGAGCTGGACCTACTATTGTTCCTTATTGACACTTCCTCTCCCCCTTTTGTAAGGTCCCAAAAAGAGGCGCATCAACGCCAAGGGCGCAGCACTAAGTCTGACTTAGACCATTCGGGAAATGTGCTCTCTGATCACTGATAAATGCGCTATGCCCTTCCCACGCAGCACTGTGACCGTGGAAAAGAGCTCCTTCATCTCGCCTGAACGCCTTGAGGAAGCTCCCTGATCTTCCCTGATTGCCTGACCTTGAAAGGAGTTGAAATTCTGATTTGAGGGCACATTCAACGATCAGAGGAAGGACTCATAATAATTGTGTCTACCTCATTGGTGCGCCTCCTTGTGGTACTAGAAGGAGGGGGTGAAGGAGTAACATTCACGGTGAATACCTTGCTGGATAGCTACTCGAAGCAATAAAATTTGAGCGAAATGGTAGGGGGTAAGCATTATTATCAAAATAACATTATCTCGCTTCATAGTCAATGACAAATATCACCTGTAGGATTAAGGAGGGTAAAAAGTCAATTCCAAGCCAATTCCAATAGTGTGTAATGACGTTCTAGGTTCTCCTGATGCCTCTTCGAATGGGTGCCAATGGACTGAATTTGACTGAAGCCAATCATATCATTTTCATGGAGCCCATCACAGAAACATCTGTGCTATCACAGGTTTGTTATTTCCCTATGTTCTGGGGTATGAGGCACACTTGCAGACACGCACGCGATGACGCGCGCGAAAAGTTCCAAAACGCTGCAGCTGTTTTTTTCAGCCTATTTGTATTTTCAGTCTTTTGCTTGAATATCATCCACTTCTTATTCGATACAGGTCATTCATGTAGATAAGAACGAAACAAAATACGCACAGAAAAGCGGAAACTACAATTGCGACGTTAGAAGCGAGGGTGCACCCTAGACATAGGGGCGGCTTATACCTCAGAAAATAGGGTAATTGGCAAGTCAAAGCTTCTGAACTAATATGAATTTTCCGAGTTCAGGCTGTTGGGCGCCTTGACCGTATTGGACAGCGTCGTACAGTTACAGTGCACAATTTTGTTGTGAAAGGGTCTATTGAGGTGAGTTGCGACGTCACAGCTTTCATTTAATGTTCTGTACATTCACCTCCGGGAACGGCCCGCACAATGATCGAGGCGAATTGGTTCGCAGCTGTAGTAGCGTGCCACTTTCTCCGGTTGGGAATGCACGGGAACGGGCTATAGGATTGTGGTACCCGAATGGCGTCTTTATACTCTACCCAAGGTGTCATAAAGGTCATCCACTCTCGTCGATACCGAAGTCCCGCAGCGAAACACGTACTCAGTGGTATAGAACAGCCGGAAGTGAGAGGGCGAAGACAAGCAGTTCGTCTGGCTATGTTTGAGCGTGTGGCTGGCCGTGCGGCAGCGCGGGCGGAATATTGAGACGGCCCTCGGGTACCACTCTCCAGCCCCTTGGCATGCACTTTTGAAAAGTGGCACTTTATTGCAGCTGCAGACCTCTTACATTTCAAGGTCCAGGAATCACGGGATGTGCAGACCGTCTTCGAAGTAAAAGTCTTTTAAGGAGGAAATCTACAAAATCGTGAGCGATGGTAAGGAGCAAAGCCGATGGACGTTGGAAACACTTTATCAGGTGTTTGGTCTACCATTACATCCTGGACAAGAACACAGGTTTCCGGACGAGCTGTAGAAGCTAGGCTCAGGAAAATTGCCTGTTGAACGCTAGACTCACCACTTTCTCTTTATTGTGTAACCGACCTTCCTTAGCTTCTCGGAAGTTGTTTAGGAACGATTTTGGAAGGATTCCATATTCTAGGTATCATTTTAGGAATGTGTTTTTGCTACAATTATCAGAGATCTCTTTTACTTACAAGGAAATACTTAAGCTTGCCACAGAACTTTGTAAGGAGGCCTGCGTACAGCGATAGAGTTCCCAATGCTGATTGTGAAAGTGCAGATTAAAAGTGCTGCGAGAATTTCTTAAAGAGTTCTGGGCTGTCAAATCTTGCTGTAAATGCAGTGTTGTTGGGGATGAGCAATACTGAGCGGTCAATTGCCAGTGCCTCCGTGGCCTAATGATAGCTGGCTAAGTCGCCTTCTAGCCAGGTGCTCGGGTTTGTTCCCCGTTGTTGCGGGAGTTTTTGCTTCGCCTCCGATAAGAGCTTTCACTGCAGTCAAAAATTCCTCCAAGCTGACGTCCAGCAGAGCCAGTGGATCAGTTAGATTAGGCCTATGACGTGACAGATAGAACATAAAATTGAATCTGTCCCTTGTGACTTTCCACCTACCTAAGGGTTCGAAATATGAGCAAAATTTCAATGGGACCAGAAACTTGCACTTGAGTCAAATGAGGAACTCGACCTCCTGAAAGCCATGTCGCAAAGCGCCTGCAGCCTGCGCCGAGCTGGACGGCGCCGGCACCAAGCCACTGCATGAAACACTGAGTCAGTTGAATTTTGCCTCCTGGTGTAGTTCAACTTCCATGCTGTGAATATTATACATTTATGTTTAGCTCTATAACATTCCCTTTGGAAGCATCGGCATCAATCACTTTTCACGTTGTTTCGTCAGCATCTATGAATGGTGAAACCGGTCACTTTCGTATCAAACAGGCATGATATTTGTGTTCATGGGTCGAAATATCCTCACGAACGGATTTCTGGTCAAATTAAATCCTGGCCAATCTTCGAATCGTCGGACGGGTAGTGTCACAGGGGGCAGATAGTGACCCACTTTACATTTGTTCTGTCACGTCATATTCTTGACCTCCTTGATCTAATTGCTCTGCTGAGCGTCAGCTTGGAGGAATCTTGAAAATTACCGTAAAATATCTTTCGGAGACAGAGCAAAAGTTCTCGCACCTGCAGGGATCAAAGCCGTTAGTTCTTGGCTAGAAGTAGAAACAGCTACCACTAGATCATGATGGCACTGGCAATCTACCACTCAGCAGTGCTCACGTGCCAACGCTGCATTAACAGAAAACTCAGCGCGCCTTGAACTCGCTTGGGAGATCTTTAGCACTTTTAATCTGCGTTTCCGCTGTCAGCATCTGAGACTATCAATGTACTTATGGTTAGCTCTCCATTCGAAGTTCCATGAGAAGTTCAAACCATACCCTTGTTAGATTTCATTGTTATGAAACGCTTTCCATTTGCCTCCTGTGCTAATCTTGAATTCACTGCCTGCGAACATATTGAGTCCTCTTTGTCACTCTCCCTTGTAAGCAAAACTTGCATGCCTAATCGTGTCATATTAGTCCCAGAGGTTGACAGCGATGAATATTTTGACGGAATAGTCTGGCCCGTATCCTGTCCTCGTGCGGCGCGTCAGGCTGCGTCCGACGGACGTTCATTTTGCGGCCGCGGCGGGAACAAGTGCTATGCGCCAGGATTATGATTATGTGGAGTTTTCAACATTACGCTATAGAGCTCATTGGTCTCGTATCTATCCTTATGTAAAGATATCTAGGGTATTTATCTCTAGGAAAATACATTCATAATAATCGTTGATAATCAGTACAAAGTAAACAATCAGTTGAGACTGCTGATTTTGAAATCTCAAGAACAAAACAAATCTATGAACCCCTTACATTCCCTTTCACGTAGTTTTAGATTTAGGTGTCAGTGGGTTTGTTTCCTGTTGACTTGATAGTTTTCATGTTGCTCCTAGATTATTGAGTGCTCTCCTCTCACAAAATGCTTTAATTTCTCTGTAAATCGCAGTGTTCTGGTGAAAATCGAGAAAGCCTCCTGAAATCCACTTGCTTTCTCAAGAGCATTATCTGCAGTTGTTTACATATTGGCTTTGTCATTTTTCTGATTAGATTCATGCATACTTTAGTCGTCTTTTCTTGTGATGCTTCATTTTTCATGCCAACTGTTTTTCTTTGATAAACTCATTCTGGTTTTTCGATGAAGCTCAGAAGTTTTCCATTTTCAGTCTGAGGATTCAGGCTGCAAAGCCCGCTTGGTTCACTTAAAGCTATCTAACTAATGGAATCAAGAAGAAGATATTTTGGTTACGAATGGTAATTATAAGGTCAACCATTTTTTTCATCAGTAGTTTGCCGAGAAGAAGTGTCTGCTTTCGTCTTCACCTAGTCATTTTGATGACATTTTGGCGCTGTTTAGCGACAGGGGGCATTTTGTACTAACATTGCTTCCCTAGTTCCGGTTTACGAATCTCACCATGGTAAAACTTGTGAACGCCTGTGAAGCTGGAGTAAGATCGTCTAGCCACCATCCTAAAACGTGTCAACAAATAGATGGATCGGCACATCTATGAAAAGTGGAATGCCCCCCCCCCCTTTTGGCACTATTTACCCTTTACTGCCCCAGTCATCCGAAATCAGGCCAGTTCCTGACCGACTTTTTTCTCCGTGGGCAGAATTTGCTGAAAACTTGGCTCCAGGGGTAGTTCGACTTCGCCTGAAGCACGAAGTATTCGCATCGGCTCAACTCGAACACCTCCTTGGCGCCCGCGCCACTGGCGCTGGCGCCAAAATACCCCAGATCATTGGCGCCTGTGGCGCGGGCGCCAGGAAGTTTCGGGCTGAGCGAATGTGATATTCGTTTTCTGGAGGTCAAACTACCCCAGGAGACAACATTACCGGGACAAAATCTGCACCGGCGGAGAAAAAAGTCGGTTCAGAAAAATGGCTCAATTCGGATTGTTGGGCAGAAGGGTAAATAGGCCCATTTTGTTATTTTTTTCTGCGTCTTTGAAGGATTGGAGAACTTGGCAACGTTCACACTTTGCGTCTATCGACAGTTTCTCCAGAGAGTACAGAAGAAAAGGGGGTTCCGATTAGGCCAAGGTGTGAACTTTTCGCGCATCGCAAAACCATCGACCCTGAGAGGGAAATCCCATCAGGAAATACCTGGCTCACGTGTAACCGCCACGATGACCAACTATGACCTACCCGTGACCGCGCGAGAACCTGTGACGCCATATCGATGGCACCATTACAGTCCCTCCTGGTCGTTCAACATTCGTTTGCCTTTATGAAAATCACTCTTCTAGCCAACTCCACGGCTCGGCAGGGGTAGTCTCGGTCCTTAGAACTGCTATATCTGACGACTCCTGTCAAATATTTTATGGTTAGTCCGACAGCCTCTCGCCGGTGCTGGTCGACGTGAGTACGGTTAGGTTACTGGTGTGTTTTGTCTCCTCTTTACAAATATGTTCAGTCCAGTTCAATTCACATAGTTATTGTGATCTGGCTCAATGAACAGATGTAGATAAGTAATTAACATAACAAGCGCTGTCGCATTCATACTTTCTTCATGACAATATTTCGTAAGTGTGGGGGGGGGGTGTGGCTTCACTAACTAGGACGTAGATGCTCCGAAGGGCCTCGTGTCCGACGGTTACACCGACGAGTATCAGGTAAAATGGGATGAAGCCGAGCCGCGGAACACTGTTTGCACTTGAGTAGCGCGTGCGGTGGTTCCACCTCAGACAGTTCATCTAGTGAATCCTGCGTTTCCGTATTAGACACCGAGTCCGCCCCCCATGAGGTAAGTTCAATTCCCCCGTTCTCCATATTCTCTCGAAACAGTAGCGCCCATATGTGGAGCGTTCCATCATTTGTTTCCACTAGGGCGGCAGCTGCCTATGTGGTAGCACGCAAAATTCTGTAATGGTCAGATGGGAGGAGGGTCTTTACTATCAGGCCTTCATTGATGGCACAAACCTCTTTTAAGTTTTTGGGTGCGACTACAGTCGTTCTCTGCTTATTTCTCCGGAAATTCTACCATGGTTAAGAATGCCGTCACATCACCATTTCCCAGATTCATTCAGTCGTGAAAATTACGTCGACACTGGAGTGATTCAATTCGAAAACCTTCCAAGGCGTGTTACGATGAGGTGCGCAAGTGACAAACAACAGATGGCGTGGGAAAATGATGAAAACGTTTGCGTTTCCAGCTTCATGTCAATTTTCTGCCATGTCTTTCATGTGAATGACAATTCATGTGATATTTCGTTTTTCGCAAGAAATGGCGTGAAGATGAAGAGCATTTTATGAATTGCAAAAGCCGAATTGGTTCCCCAACATGAAAGATAGAAAATGAGAAGCTTGACGTCGATTAGCCTACCTCCTAGGTCAAAGGAAAAAAGTCATTCATATCTGATACAGCTGTTCGGATGCCTACTCTCATCCTCAATAGATATTTGGAATTCTAAATGAAATAAGCTTTCCTCAGCTTTGTATCACTTCTTCTTAGTTCCCACAATTTTTGTAAACATTTCTAGTTTTCTCCGGAAAACTACTTTCGAGGGGAGGGAGGTGGGGAGGGGGAGAAGGCACATAACACATGGAAAAACCGCGAGCAAACCGAGAAGAATTCTCTGAAGGCCGCCAGATACTGCCACCCACCCCCCCCCCCTCTCTGAAGCGACGAGTACATACAACTCTTCACCTGAAGGAACCCTTTTACCGTTGGTAGATCCCGTGCATAACGCACGAGAAACAGGGAAACCAGTCATCAACAAGCTTTTCAGGCTAAGTGCGTCTACCGGTCCTCCAGCGATCGAATCGCGCTGAGGATTCCCCTGCGTATGCCGAGCCCTGAAATAATCAGCACGGCGCTTTCTGAGAAATTTCGGTGATTCTTTCTGAGGATCTGTTCCCTATCGAACCTGAAAAAGGATAAACAAGCGGTTTGTCGGAGAGTATTCTCGTAGGAA